ACAAACAAACAAACAAAAAACAAGCTATAAATTCTGCAAGGCACAAGAGGAGCTACCAAAACAAATTTTCTGTTCGTAAGAGACCATGAATACTTTTGGTGTATCAGTTACTCTCACATTTCTAATGGCTACACTTAGTGATGGCTTTCAGAAATCCTAGAAGAAAGAGCTGAGCTGCCTTATGGCATTTTCAAGGCTATAATGTTTATAGATATGCAAGTCTTTCTCCAAATAGGTTCCTAATGGGTTCAAATTGCTCACATTTAGAACTCTTCACTACATGCCAAAAAGGCTCATTTTCAAAATGGTCATACCTTGCTAAGTCCATGTTAAAGTAACAAGTGCTTGAGATGTCAAATGCTAAGTTTGCCGTTTGAGTCCATTCTTCATAGTACTGATAAGGTCACATTAATATCTCCAAGAACTATAATTTTCAAAGTTTCAAAGGATTTCTCTCCCACTGCTGTAGAGTCAGAACTAATTCACTGCTGAACCGCTAAGTGTCTGAAGCTGAAAGTTGCTTAGGATGAGATTGCCCATCTTTGTACCACAGAAACCACCAGATAGGTGTGGCCTCTGGGTTATCAGAGTGACATCCACAGACCATGCTACTAGGGTTCCACTTCAATGACTCTTGCAAGACAAAAGGTGGAAGATTTGTGCTCTAGACTCCTCTTGTCCCCTTATAATTGTCCCTCTTACATTTCATGATAATTATGTGGTATCTTATAAAACAATCCCCAGAAAATGCTAACAATCTATTAGCACGATTCAGCTATGGCTGGAATCTAGAGTTTTTTGAGTCCCCATAGTCTTAATTTTTATAAAAAAATCAGCTAAATGGCTCCCACAATCAGAGATTCCTGTTTAATGATAGCAGGGGCACTGATAGTACAGCAGTTAAAGCATTTAACTGCTGATCAACAGTCATTGGTTCAAATCCAGCAGCGACTGTTAGGGAGAAACATGAGGGAGATTCACGTCTGGGAGCCTCTAGGAGGCAGTTCTCTGCTCTACAGTGTCACGTTGATTGGTTTGATGTCAGTGGATTTGCTTTGGTTTTTTTATTTAAAGACTTCAGGAGGAGCATTTGCTATTTTTCAAAGTTTTCATAAAAATCCTAAACATTTAAAAGATGTTAGACAAATATTTACTGTAATATTTAAAAAATGCTATGGTAATAAATAGGTGAAATGAGAAGATAACAAAAAGTTGAAAAGTGGAGTTTTAGGTTGAAAGGTGAAACTTGGGACCATTTTTTCTTTCTCTTTTATTAATTTAGAAATAATCTTCAATGTAGATTTTAAGACTGCATTTAGTCAGCTTTAAAAATGCATACGCCTATGGTATCCCATACCACATTAAGAAATACCAAAAAGGCTAGTTCTAACAAAGAGCTGAACTGAGAATATATTGGAAAATTTTCAGTTGAAGGTAGATTTGGTTCTGTACAACAGGTTATACCAACATCAACAGCCTTTGCTCATTTATTCCTTCTACTCTCAACGGCTCACACAACAGTGTTCTGGAGTTATGGAAGCTCTTTAAATTCTATTGTGTTTATATATTTTTACTGAGTAATACATCTGACAGCTGCAGCTGTTTGACAGGAAATATTTTGCTAGATGAATCAACCATTCTAAAAGTTTGCAGATAACATTATCTGGAAATGCCAAACCATGTTATCATAAATTTTGAAAATCTTATGCCCAGAGTTATATTCAGTATAAACAAAGGATCCTTTGTGCAACTCTAGTGATAGTTCAATGTAAGAAAGATGAAAAGAAAGTTGGTTGAATCACTATACAGTTTCAGGGGAGGATTAAGGCACAGCTAGTAGTCTAGTGAATGGAGAGTTTCACTGCAAACTCAAAGGTGGGTGGTTCGAATCCATCAACAGCTGCTTAATGGGAGAAAGAAGGGTATCTCCTCCTAGGTCATTTAGTGCATCTGAAAACGTACTGAAGGTTCGGATATGAGTCAGTTCCTACTGGAAAGCAATAAGCTCAGTTGAATTGATGGAGTATTAGGTAAAATTTGGAAGGATTCAAGAGGTTAGAAATAACCACAGGAAGGGAGTTATAGCATAATGAGTAATAGTTCTAATTTATAAGTAATACTGAGCTTGGGACTATTTTTTTTCCACTTTTATTAATTTAGGAATAATCTTCAAATAGTCCAATACAGAGATTTTTAGTGTACATTTAGTCAGCTTTATAAAAGCATGCACCTAATTATCCTATACTCCATTAAGAAATAAAGTATTTCATTACTACAGAAAATCTCCTTATTTCCTCGGTTTACTATGTCCAGCTACTTATTCTTATCAGTCAATTTTTTTTGGCTCTTTATTTATATTACAACATAAAACATCAACATAAGAGAAGAATTACTAATGGTAACCACAGTAAAAGTCTTCCTTTTAGAACACAATATGAAGCATAATATACAGTATTCAATTTAAGTGGCCTGTACTATAAATTGTGATTTTAAAAAAACAACAACACAGCAACTAAAAACAAACAAACAAAACCCCCCACAGAGCTACTTTTCTTTGAGTAGTGCCTGATACACTCACTCACTGAAAGTCAATTTAAAACAAATACAAAATTTCTGAAGTCTTCAAATTCTTTATCACCTCTTTATCAGAAAAGCTAACAAAGTTTTAAAAATTTTAAAAGCCTGCATTTACAAAACTCCATTATAACAAAAGTTTATCAGCAGAGGCAGTCTACTACATGACTGTTGACATGAAAACACCCTGGAAATACACGAAATGCTGCACTAGGATGGAAAGAAATGATAGTGACTATAACCACTCACTTCTGTTTCTTCCTTTAAAAATATCTAGCTTTTGCAGTGTTTTATAATGCACAGTATATTTTTATTTCAGAAGTATAGGATTATTTATAGATCGTAACAAAAATTTTAGGGATTTTTTTTCATTAAAAAAATATTTTACTGATAAGAATGAAAATTGCTAACTTTAGAGTTCCAGGAGTGTATGTATATACACAAGCATATAGAGGAATTGGAGAAAATACCTTCAGCAACGATTGTTTCTGATTTTCTCGCTTCCTTTCTTCCTCTTTTTTGGCTACAACAGATGCCATACGTCTTTCTTCTTCCTGAAAAAATTTTTTAAGTAATGTAAAGTGTTTAACCAGTTTTTAAAAAAGAAGTTAAATATCTTTGACTTTGCAAATAAATTCTTCTTCTTGAGTAGTATAGTACTTGGCAAAAGAAAATATGCTCAAAGGAAAAGTTAGTGTATTCTCTTTATTTCTCTCCTCTTTCCTTAGTCCTAAAAATCAAACTAAACCAAAAGAAAACTGCGTGTTCTTAACTCTACTGACTCTGGATGTAAGAGGAATCAAGTTAACTCAAGAAAGGGCAAGAAAGAAAAGGAAAAAGGAATATGTTTGCATAATTTTTCTTTTTAAATCATGGATTATATAAAAAGACTCAACAAATTTTCTGCCACAAACATAGGATTGCTGTTGTTGAGTGTCAAGTTGACTATGATTCATAGACTAAGACTCATAGTGATCGTAGGGACAAGAGATCAGAAGGAGAATGAAACATTTTATGTGTGTGATAGTTATACGTTAGAACATGTTTGGTTTTTTTAAAAAAGAGTGGAAGTCTTTTAAAATTCTCCAGTTTATCAGCACATTATTCTTTATTAAGAATATTTCTATAACTTTGTTTTAAAGTTGATTTGGCCAGTTTCATTTCTTAAATTTAAAAAGTTATGAAATAACATCATAGACAGCTTAGAAAGGTTAAAAAAAAATCTGTGACAATCCCAACAAGCTAACTCAGATCTTATAATTTTGGGCTATTATGAAATTTGCAATCTTTATACACAAGCTAAGACCATATTTTCCTTTTTCCTCCAAATACTGCCAAATTCTAATAGAGTATATTGTCATTACTGTTGTTATGTGCCATCGAGTGGATTCCAAGTCATAGCGACCCTATGAACAATAACTCTGAGCCCTTCCCTATCATGGGCCAACCTGTCTCTGACACGCCTGTCCTCATTGCCATAGTCACGGTGTCAATCCATCTTATCTAGGGTCTTCCTCTCATGCGTTGACCTTCTTCACTTAAAAGCATGATATTCTTAAGAACGGTCCCCTCCTCACAATTAGCCCAAACTTTGTGAGACAGAATTTCATGACCCTTGCTTCCAAGGAGCAACCTGGTTTCATCATCTCCAGAACAGATCTGCAGTCCATGGTATGTTGAATACTCTTTTCCAGCACCACAACTCAAGGGCATCGATTCTTCTTTTCTCACCCTTAGTCACTGTCTCTCAAATCCATAGTAAGCAACTGAGAAGACCATGTTTAGATCAAGTGCATCTTAGTCTTTAGACTGATGTCATTGCTCTTTTAGCACTCTGGAAATGTTCTTGATAGCATATTTTTCCTTTATAACTTGCCTTTTTATTTCCTGACTGCTCAGTGCCATGAGTGTAGATTGGACACCCATGCAAGATGAAATCATTAACATCTTCAATTTTTTCTCCATCTATCATGATGCTGCCTACTGACCCAATGGTGAAGATTTTTCCTTTCTTGATGTTGAGATGAAATCCATATTGAAGGCTGCAGTTTTTGATCTTCTGCAGCAACACATCAAGTCCTCAGTTTCAGTAAGCAAGATTGTGTAACCTGTATTATGCAAATCATGGATTAGTCTTCTTTCAATCATGATGTCACATTCTTCATAAATCCAGCCTCTTGAATGATCTGTTCAGCATATAGATATAGAGAAAGGAAACTTCCTTGACAGGAGAGCAACACCCCCACTGCCGAACAAGGCCAGGTAACCACTGGGCCTTGTCTTGTCTCATCTTGTGACCTTCCTTCTTGGGGAAAGGTAGCCACTGACCAAGACTCAACGAATTCCAGGCCTTCTGGACCTTGTGGCATTGCTTTGCTGTGGGAATCTCTGAAACCTGCACCATTATATCTGTATGTTTGCTTCTCCTTATGGTTTTCTCTTAGGGCTTTTCTTTATCTGTCTTTTTTTTTTTTTAATTAGGGAAGTGCTTTTGCCTGTTGACGCTCTTAATTGCTAAGATACATATATGTTTGCTTTTCTGTCATCTGCTCTTTTGGGTACGGTGCTTGCCTATCAAGAGATTGTACCAAAGCTTGAGGGTCGCTCTGAGTAGTCTACAATTCGACAACACTTAACAACAACATACAGGGAACTCAGTTGGCCTAGTGTACGGAAAGTGACTACCAAGTCAAAGGTGGGTGATTTTAATCAGAGGCCCTCAGGCCTGGTTTTAATTGCTTTTGTCAAACATTCTTCTAAGTGGCGTAGCATTGGTCTGTCTACTTGCTGTACAGAGGTAACTTGTGGCTGCTGTGATGCTAAACACTGTGACAGTGATATGTCAAATGTGATAATGGTTACCCATGGTGGACAGTGTCTGGTGGGGCTCCCTGATTAAAATAAGCTTGGAAGCAAGAGTGACATCCACTTCCAAAGTAGATTGCCTCTGGAAACTCTAGGAACTTGGAGAAATGATGAAAGTTATATAAATGTTCAAGTTTTTCGTTCATAGGATCACTAGGAGTCATCTACGACTTGACGGCATTTAACAACAACAACATTAAAGCTTAGCTCACAGATTAAGACACTGAAGATAGATTGGGTGCCCATTTCTGAAATAACAGGCCTCGGAAAAGCTATGAATAGAATACATCATAACTATATAATGTTGGCTTTTCATTCCTTACCATTGCCTCTTGATCATATGGTACTTTTTGAAATAATTCAGTGTCAGCTAGTTCTTTTTGGCATAGTGATTTTTGTGTATTTCTTCCATCTTCTTCCCTCCCACCCCTTCTTTTGCTGCTTCCTGGATCATTCAAGATTTTGCCTATAGCATCTCTAAGTATTGTAACTTGAGATTTCAATTTGTTTTTCAGTTCTTTCAGCTTGAGAAATGCCAAGTGAGTTCTTCCTTTTTATTCTCCAATTCTGTGTTGTTGTGTGCCGGCAAGTCACCTACGACTCATAGCTATGCTATGTGCAACAGCCCTAAACCCTGCTCAATCTTGTGCCAATCTTATTGTCTCTGACACACCTACACTCATTACAATGGTCACTGAATCAATCCATCACATCAAGAGTCTTCTTCTCTTGCACTGACTGTCCCTCTATCTTCCCAAACATGATGTTGCTCTCTAAGGACTGATCCCAACTTGTAACATGTCCAAAGTATGTCAAACAGAGCTTCAGAACCCTTGCCTCCAAGGAGCAGCCTGGATTCACCTTCTCTAGGATGAACGTGTGTGTTCTCTAGCAGTCCATGGTATATTTAATACTCTTCTCCAGCATCACAGTTCAAAGACACAAATTCTCCTTCTATCACCCCTAGTCATTGTCCAGCTTTCTGACATATAGCAAGTAAGTGCAAAGACCATGGCCTGGATCAAGTGCACCTTAGTCTCCAGACTGACATCTTTGCTCTTCAGTACTTTGGAGAAGTCTCTGACAGGAGACTTTCCCATTGCAATTTGTCTTTTCATTTCCTGGCTGCAGGTACTAAGAGTGTTGATTGTGGAACCAAGCAAACCGAAGCTGTTGACAACCTCAATCTCTTCATCACCTATCATGATGCTTCCAATTGGCTCAGTGGTGAAATCTTTGCTTTCTTGATGTTGAGCTTTGATCCATATTTTGATCCAAGCTGCAGTCCTTGAATTTGATACCAAGAACATTTGATCATGTTTATGCGAAACCTATACTTTGACCAGGAGACAGTCGTCAGAACAGTAAGGAAACACTGCATGGTTCAAAATTGGGAAGGGCGTACGCCAGGGATGTGTCCTGTCTCCATACCTTTTCAACCTATGTGCAGAATAGATTTTCCAGGAGGCTGGGCTCTGTGAGGAGAAATATGACATCAGCATTGGAGGAAGACTCATCAACAATCTGCATTATGCAGATGACACAATCCTGCTTGCTGAAACTGAGAAGGACCTGAAGTGCTTGATGCAGAAGGTTCAATTCTATGAGGAGAAATAAATGTGAAATTTGTAATTTTCACTCCTTGCTTTATAAAATTGCTTGTTTAATAATTATATTAAATTCATTTATTCACCAGATACTTATTTGGTACCTGAGTGTAAAAGGGAGGTCTAGTGTCCCTGTGGGTCAGAAATGATGCCAGCTGTAAGGTACACAGCTCCAATCCCCCAGCTGTTCCACAGGAGAAAGAAGGGCAATCTCCTCCCATGTGATCCGCATCCTCCGGGAACCTGAGGGATGGTCTCCTAATGGCCAGTTCTAACGCGAAGGCACATAACAACAAGAAGGATAATAATAATTTCTTTCATAAGAAATTGATTAAACACGTAAAATGTACCGATATTTGTTTGTTGACTTATCTATAAATGGTGACTTTGAAGAACCAATTTGAAACTGTACGAATCACGCACTGCACATACATAAGAAATTACTTCATCACATTTTAAAAAGAATTTGAGCTTCTATTAAAGGCAGTAGAGCTTTAGAAGTAAAGTTAAACCTTGGAAAACTGGATCCCTGCCAAATCAACTCAAATATCGAGAAGTTTAAGAAATTTGTACATCTGATGGCTCATTTCAACCCAAATAACCAGTTACTAAACTTAGAAACAAACAAAAAAATACTCTAATTGTGAAAACAAACCTGCTAGTAACATACAAACCCTAAAATTCTGGCCCCTTGTAATAACCGTCTAATTTCTGGGGGGGAAAGCCATCTCTTTTATGTAGTAAAAGAGAGGAATTTATTTGGTTCAAAAATGCTTAAGTTTTGCCTTACTTCAATTTGGTTAAGAGGAACCAATATAACAATGATTTCAAATTTATTATCACAGGGATCTAATAGATGTTTGATAATCTCTACTATTAGAAAATTTTTGTAAGTTCTAAAACAATGCATATATAAGAGTTTTGCTTCAAAATAAGTAATCACTCACTGACTGTCACTGAGTCAAAACTGATTCACACAGCTGATCCTCCAGAGGATTTTCAGAAGCTATAAATATCAAGGGAGGATACTGACCATCTTTCTCCCTTAGAACAGTCAGTGGATTTGAACTTCTAGTCTTTGA